CGAGAATTACCCTGACAACTTCAAAAAAAGAGATAAAGTAAGGCAAGAGAATATCAAAAAGCAATCCTTCTATAGCCTCTCATGTAAACATATGGAAACGACCAGACTATAAATAATGATGCAATAAAGAGATAGTTGAACTCACGATTTGCCCACACCCCGATATAACGAAGCCCGGAACATAAAAAGTCTAAAAACGCTTGGTAAGAAAAGAAACAATGAAAACGATCGAATTTATATATAAATGCAAATTAAAGGATTAAGCGTTAATACAGAAAAAACAGTGATTACGTGATTCATTTTTTTTTTTTTCTGCGTTTGGGGTTCGCAGTAAGCGTGAATCTTAATCGTATTTTTTTAATCAGTTTTGACCCAACATAATAACTTTACAAACCTCGGCCTTATGGACTACTAGGCAAGTAGCGTCGAATCGCGCAATAATCTATTCTTGTTAATTATCTAAAAAATCAGAGTTGTAATTGTGTAACCACAATGGTGTAACCAACAGCGATAGCCTCGCTGAGCACTTCTAATCCAGGACCACTCGTGAATCAACGCGGAACCTATAACTTGTAAAAACTTGATAAATGCTATAAGCACCACACATTCATGACAACAGATCAACTAACAGTCATTTGATTTTGGATTCACGAGTGATTCAAATTGATTTGGTCTTGTTAATTCAACCTTGAATCGAAAAAGGCAACGAAAAAACGCGACTGCAAAATGAAGATCCTGGTATTGATGATAGCTTTGAGCTGCTTGTTCTCTTTGGCCTTTGCGTCAAAAGGTATTGAAGCTCTTTGTTCACAATTTCTTCTGCTCATTCTTACGTCTGTTATACAAAGATATACTAAATTTAACTGCTGAGAAAATTATCGCTAAACTTCTGATATGATCTGTGTCTATAATGAAAAATTTGTATAAAAAGACTGTTTAAAAAATAGAAATACGAATGCCAAATTTCTTAACTTTTCATGCAACGTTTTTCCTGTTCAAGTCTGATGTCGTAGTTTAATCCCGGTTTTCTCTCTCTGAAAACAGGCCATGAAATACCACAAACGATAAAAACGCTAAACTTTAACAGCAATAGTAATATTGCGCCGCAAGTTGTAACTAGCATTTCTCGGGCTTCACTATAATGTCGCCAGCAAATAGACGAAGACTTCCTGTCGAAGAACCAACGTCCGACAATTAAATCGAAAAGATTTTCTCTGTATTCTTTATATCGTGTATAACTCATCATTAGTTATCCCTACTAAGGACAGCGTTTTGAGAAATATAAAATTGTTTAACTTAAAGTTAAAATTGCTACAGTCAATTCTGGGCTCACAGACACCACGACAGGTGATTATATTGAGTGAAAATAAGTACTAAAAATAAGAAACTAAATTAAATCGATATAGTTAGTGACAAGAATTCTTTTTCCTTTCCTTTCCATTGTCTCTCCTTTTAACCCTTTTCAGCTGACTATTTTGCAACTTTTAGTGTTTGCACTCTTCTCTCAATTTTCATTGTTWGACAATCGGTGTCATATTAACGCGAAAAAAATCTGCATTTTATGGAGTCACAAATAATGTTTTTGGGGGAAATCAGCTTTCTCAAAACAATTGGAGGCWACAGTTTTTCGGATTGATGCGAAGAAAGGCGTGGATGTCGATTGGACCTTGTACTGTTTCTATCTCAATAGTGAATTTTTATTTACGTAATAATGTATTATAAGAAGATTTACAATAAATAAGAAAAGAAAAGTAGTCCTTGATGTATGAATCAGGAAATCTCTGGGTAATTAATACCACACTATTGTCTGCGGTCATGGCCGACCATTCATTGTTATCAAAATGTTATTTGTTAATTCTTAATGTAATATTTCATTTAACAAATAATCCAGGAATTCATTCTCTCTCAAGATGTTATTCAAATATCCCCGTATAAATTAGTGATCCCAAAGTGATTCAGTTTTCTTTGCAATCAGTGTTGTAACGTCAGGACTTGGCATCCATCACGCTGTCCCATCAATCAAACCAACTCGGAACCAATAACTTGTAGACCCTTGTAAAAACTTGTTAACTTCTATGAACCAAACATTAACTTCAAATCAATTCAGTGCCCTCGTTCGATTTTGGACTAGAGCGAGAATTAAAATATTGTGTGGTTAAAAAAACCTGATTCATAATTTCCAATTTGTTCAACCTTAAATCAAAACGCAACGAAAAGACTGACAAAATGAAGCTCTTGATTTTTATGATGGTTTTGAGCTGCTGGTTCACTTTGGTTTTCCCGTCAAAAGGTATCTATAAGTGTTGGTAACTTTTTCTCAATTGTTTTTGCTCATTCTTATATCCCTTATATCTGTTATGTACACTGATTTATAAGCTCAGTTAATTAGTTTATATACCAATGTGATCGCGGTTGTTTCTTATAAAATATTTTGTGATAAAATGATGAATTATACACAGTAAAAAAAACACGAAAAATACGGGATATAAAACTCTTCAAATAGTGTAAAGCATTGCGACTCGTTGTATTATAATATCTATTATCATTACTAGCGTAGTCACGCAACGTAAGGATTTTATGATGTTTGAAATTGACGTTCTATGCCTTCAGTCTTCGTAGCTCCCTCTTTCTTTAGCATTGGCAACTTATCGCGCAACAACAACGAAATAGTTATTGAAAAACGAGAAACACTGGCGCTAATATAACTGTTACAGTGTTCCGCGACATACTCAGTTTTTTTTTCAGTCTATTCCGTATTTCCCGGCCATTCTAATGTGTGAGATGTTGGTGATCGTCATCGTAAGCGGCGCGCGTAACTAATATGAGTTGGCCAAGCATAACCAAAGGTGTTTGTTTTATTTTGTGTTTTAACACGTCCTTGAACGATCCATGTGCAAGCGACTGAGAGCAAAAGGGATGTGCAAGAGCCGTTTTACCTGCATCAAAAACGATCTGTGCAAAGTCACGTGCGGTAAGAACATCTTAATTAATGAATTCTACTTCTATTGAATATAGTATATGTAGCAATGAATCCTATAAGAAATATCAGGGAACGGAACAGTATTTTGTGCAATCAGTGTATTTTCATGTAGTTTGGAGATCGATAATTGTTCTGTGTGCCATTTATCAGCCCCTCCCTAATAACAAAGGAGAAAGTATTTCAATCCCTACAAAACTGTTTGATTTTCAACCCAGATTCTTGTTGCCTCTCCAAGAAATCACTGCTCTATGTCTTATCTTTGACTGCTTTATTTATGTTACTATGTATTTATAGGGTGTAACGACATTCTTTCTCTGCGATCGTGTAAAGTACTGAAAGGAATAAAAGCATGCTCCAAAAACTTGGCAGTGGGGTTCGATTATTGCAGGTGGACATGTGGATTTTGTTGTGAGTAAATAATTCTTTTTTTAAACTAAGGGACCTGTTTATCGCCAGGATTGGGTTGGAGATTTGATGATTATTAGACCAGACGGTTAAAACTTTTCTAACGTCCATTTTTAATGCTGAGAATATCCACTACCACCCCACCCCATATACTGGATTTATATGCATAAGCGCAGATTAACGAAGGTATTCGTTGTCTGCAACTAAAATGAGGATGGACCCAGTTTTTGTAACAATGCTAAAAAGTTCACATAGCGCATGGAAAAAAACAATGATATGATTATCTCTGAAGAAAATCGATATTTTTAGCATCCAAGTAAATAAATAAGCAAGTCATTTTTAATACAAACATAGTTAAAAACATAAAAAGAGCGTGATGAAGTTTTCAAGCAATTTTAGCCTCAATATTCAAATTATTGTTAATAGAAGGCCTTAAATTACACTCAAAATGGACGTCGTTCAAATCAAATATACCTATATAGAGACTTTTAAACAATTTTAAAAGTGTAAGATATCTCACTCAATAATTTGATTATAATCTCGACTATTGCGATATTAGAGTACTTATTATTACTGTTATTACTTAATTACTTATTATTTCTATAAATCGTCAGGGAGAAAGAGGGTATGTAAATCGGCAGGTGCACTTGGGATGCAAAACAAAGTCATTCCTGACTCAAGAATCACCACGTCATCCTATCGTGACTCAAAATACACCCCATCACAAGGAAGACTTCACATTAGGCCATCTCGTGGTAAGAATGGAGCATGGTGTACAAAAAGAAACCAAGTCGGAGAATGGCTCCAAGTTGACTTGGGCAAGATCAGCACTATAAAAGGTGTCGCAACGCAAGGTCATTACGGCGCTAACTATTGGGTGAAAACCTACACCCTGCAATACAGCAACAATGGCAAAACCTTCAAGAAATACCAGGGAGGAAAAGTGTTCAAGGGAAATAGTGACAAACACAGCGTTGTCAAGCATAATCTAAATCCCCCGATTTATGCCAGGTACATCAGCGTAGTAGTCAAGACATGGTATAGTCACATTTGTATGAGAATGGAGCTGTATGGGTGCAAATACTACTAAAGGTAAACACAACAATTGATGAGGGAAAGCTTGGAAAATGCGTATGTTTCATTTCGCCATGATCTAGAATGAAGAATAAACAGGGAGCAGGGAGAGCAGACCCTTGTCCTTTACGTTGATTTATTCATTTTTCATATATTTATATAAACATAAAGTTAGACGTTTTCGTTGTTTTCTATTTCAGCTCACCAGTCAATCGTCATGCAGACTATCGTAATATGTGGATAACATAAAACATGTAATGGGTTGATTTTTTAAGATAAATTTACCATCGACATGGTATACTAGAAACTGAGATTATGTTAAGGTATATGATTAAAAAGGTTTTAAGGTTTTAATCGCTAACATAGCAGTTTCTTGAATCTCCTTATTCTAATCATAATCATCAGCCATCATCCGAGTCCTAGCCGGATTCCTATATAAAACTCTACCCTCCAAACCGCCTTTCCTTGTCATATAACGATACCCATAGGTCTTTTAGGGCAATAGATAATTCATTCAACAACAATTTCATTCATCTCTCAGGTACAGATAATGAGTACCTTCATATTTTGTGACTACATGTATATCAAACCTTTTTTCAATGTTCGGTTTACATTTCTTTAGTTGTTTCTCATGCTTGTTTTTGTTTGAGTTCAGTCACCAATGCAATGATATGAAAATATCGAAGGCAGTTCATAAAATTGATCATATAGACCGAGAAGAAACGCGGTTTTCACTCAATGCAAAGCTGTCGCACACGGCTCAATACCTCTTAAATCACCCACTTTTTAATCAAGATATGGAATTTTGCCTCTTTTTTATTTCTATTTCTTTATTATGTGGAAGGTTAACGTGTCTCGTTTACGACATTTTAAGACAGTTTGGATTTGAACCTTATCGGCCCATAATTTTATAATCTTGGCACATGGTAGACGAGCTTTGTGAGAGTCACGTGGTAGACGGGCTGTGTGAGTGTCACATGATAGACGGACTGTGTGGGAGTCACGTGGTAGACGGGCTGTGTGGGTATCACGTGGTAGACGGGCTGTGTGAGTGTCACGTGGTAGACGGGCTGTGTGAGTGTCACGTGGTAGACGGGCTGTGTG